GTCACAGTGCGAAAAGCTGCTGTTAATTAATCGAATCGATGTTTTTATCGATAGATGACATTGGTGTAATTCATAATTCATAATTTTATTTCACTCAAAACGTAATGAGACTGGTTAGGCAAAAACATATCCCTGTACAAGATGCTTACCAGAGAAACAATGATAATGTTAATGGCAAAGATATAAGATAAGATGTATATATATAAGATATAAGATATTATAATAATAATAATACAGATAATAATAATAATAATAAATAAATTATAATAAAAAGTAAATGATAATAATAATAATAATGAATGAAGATCAAAATATATCAATACACATCTAGATAGGAAAATATTAATTGATGTACAGTAAAAAGTAATAATATACAATTAATGTTTATCATAATAAATGCAACAGACGCCAACTTACTTGATCTGTGTCCTCTATGCGCAAAATAAATTTTCCACCAAAAGATTTTGCATAGATATAATTATAGAGGGCAGTACGTAAGCCACCCAAGTGCATCATGCCGGTCGGACTTGGAGCAAATCTCACCCTCACTGATTGCTTCACACAGTAGCATGGTGATGAAGTTGTGTAACATCGTGAAGCTTGGTAAGCAAGCCAAGGAATTGCCTGTGGCCTATGCATTAGAATTCTACAACAAAATAATCAAATTACAGTTAGACCCCATTCAGACTAGCTTCGAATTGCGATCGGTTGTAGCAATTGCAACACCCAATCGCAAAGTAAAATTGTGTCAAAGCTCACCAATAGTAGTCGATAAGTAATCGATTTTGCAATTGTTACCCATTGCGATTGGGCGCTACAATCTTTAATACTCCTGATTACCACGGAATCTGATTGCAACGGATTCCACAGGCAGGGATTGGCTGAAGTCAAACAAACAGGACGACTTATATCGTTGCTAGTGATGTAAAGTATCAAAGTCAAAAGGTGTCTGAATGCTGTCGAAGTTTTGCGAATGGTTGCGAACAATTTGGATTACAACTGTTTACCACCTGTCTCTTATACACATCTAGATGTGTATAAGAGACAGGCATTGTATTATGTACGTTATTTAAACATGTTTTGTTCCTCACAAATAGTCTCTGTATTTACCTACATAAAATACACTTTAGGCATCAGTTCCGAAAGTTGGCCTATGTAATCTAAATTGGTTTGTCATAAAATCTGATATATGTCATCAGTCATGGACCATTCTATGTTCTCTGACAACGCAGTTAACAGTATGCCCTAAGCGCGAAAGCCCCGTCGGACGCCCACCAGGGGCCTTCACCCCCTGGGCCCCGACTGGGGGGGGGGGGGCTACTTGGCCCCCATGACCCCCAGCGTCTATTTTCCCGCTCCGCTTGTAAACTTAACGCTCGCTTATTAGGGCCCCAAATAACAGTTACCGCCAGGGCCCCACAAACTCAGTGACGCCACTTATATTCATTGAATTATCATTGACTGTAGAAAAAAAAAATGCAAATTCAAGGAATAAAATTTAAAAAAAAAAAAAAAACACATCCGCAACATTGATTGAAGTCAGGCCTCTGAGGAAAAATTTGTTTTGATATGTTGTACAACTGATTTTTTTAGAAGACATAAAAAGCATATCGAAAAACTCGGTAACGATTAATGAAATTTTTGAATAGGTCTATTAAAAAAAATAGAATAGGTGGAAAAATGGTAGTTTTCCATGTTTCCCCCAATTTTTAAATATTCAAAACTCTGTATCTCATTAACCGTTTAAGAGTTTTTCGTCAAATGTGCTTTTTCTGTCTTAAAAAATCAGTTTTACAACATGTCAATTGTTTCCCTCCGGAGCCCGACTATCAGTTCATCATACAGTACCACTAAAACTGACGCGAATTGACGTAAGTTGACGCCAACTGACGTAAGTGGACGCGAAAACTTTTCAGCTGATGCATCGTGTTGTTGAGAAACTTTTGGCAAGTCCGTCCGTCTTTCAACAAAATAGGTTTGTTTAAATTTCGATAAATACTTGAAAAGAATACTCAAATGATAAAACTGTATTCTTTGATTTGTCGTTTTCGCAGTTTTAGACCCTTGCCATTGGGACCCGTGTATGAATGGAGGAACTTGTGTCGTAAACGCTGTCGAAAACACATACACATGTCAATGTACAAGTTGCTACCTAGATGACAGGTGTCAAACAGGTAAGAAAAAGTAAGCTTAGAGGCCGCAGTTATTCGAGAGCCTCAGCGAATACATGGGGCCTGCCTATGCTAGCCTAGGAATTAAGGCATATTTAAAATAATGATAATTATAATTTTAAAAAAAACAAACAATAATTTTTCGAAATAATGGCAGTTTTGTTTCAAATAAATGACAGTTTTCACAGGTATGGTGAGAATAGGTTAATAACAAGACTTAACATCTGTTGTTAGGTTTAGCCTAGGGGGGCCTAGGCCTAGCCTATTACTGTTTATTTTTTAAGATTTTTAAGTTTTGAATAATAACAATAATATATATTATGATAAGTTTAAAGTTAAGCGAGAACGATGAATGACTGGAGTAGTTTATTGGATGAAGTTGTGAATTCAGACAATTAACCAATTTTAAATCAAGGCTGGAAGAACACTGGCAAAACCACCACCAATATTTTATATACATGAAATTTTTTTTCTTGTTTGTAGCTGTGGACAGATGTGATGCTAGTCCATGTCAGAATGGGGCTACATGTGTCATGACTGCCGACTGCCAAGCCTTAACTTGCACTTGCCCGGAATGTTGGACAGGAGCAATATGCCAAGAACGTGAGTTCATTTATTTTTTTAGGCCTATAGTCCTTCTCTTTGTAATGTAATGTAGTGCTATACTAATACCCCATTCAGACTAGCTTCGCCTTGCGATCAGTTGTAGCAATTAAGACACGAAATCGCACCCAATCGCAAAGTAAATTCGTGTCTGAAAGCTCACCAATAATAGTTGATAAGTAATCGATTTTGCAATTGTTACCCGTTGTGATTAGGTTGGATTGGATTGGATTGGATTTATTCGGTGTAAACACCAAGGATAGCCCACGAAAGTCTAGAAGAAGGCTTATTTCCAGTGGAGTCCTTCTGGTGGTGATTGGGCAGTACACCGGGAGACAATCCCCTACTCTTTTCCGAAGAGTGTACTGCGTTCTTTAACATGCACATGGGCCGTAAATGCTACAATCTTTATTACTCCCGATTACCACGGAATCCGATCGCAACGGATTCTACAGGCACTGATTGGCTGAAGTCAAAACAAAACAGGACACCCTATATTGTTGCTAGTGATGTAAAGTATCAAAGTAAAAAGGTGTCTGAATGCTGTCGAAGTTTGCGAATGGTTGCGAACAATTTGGATTACAACTGTTTACCACCGATTACATCGCAACCTATCGTAATGCAAAGTCTAATCTGAATAGGGTATTAAGTACAGTGCACTTTAACTAAAAAGAAAAATTCTTCATTGTTATCTCAGAGTTCGTCTGCATTTAAAGTGGTTTGTTCCCAACTAAACATTTTTGAACTCTCTGTGTGTTTTGTATCATTGTCTGATTAATTTGTTTCTATTTGTCTCTGTAGACTGCCAATAGTTTTTTATTGTACTTTTAATTTCTTGGCAAAGGGAATCCATTTATTTATTTATTTGGATTTGTAAAGCGCTTTACAAAAATAGATTTAATTTATTTACAGTATTATACAATTCAAAGCACATTATTTTAGAATAATAAAGTGATGCACAATTCTGTATTATTATTATTTTAAATGTATTTTGTGGATGATGAAAGTTGAATTGAAAATGAGGATTAAAATGTATCATATTTTGATATTTCCAATTTTCCATCTCAGGTGTGAATCAGTGTGCTGCATTACCTTGTCAGAATGGAGGAGCCTGTATTCCGCTTGGAGTCGGATGTGTTGATTACACTTGTCAATGTAACTCCTGTTATACGGGGCAAAACTGTATGACAGGTGAGGTCTTGTATTCTATTTCTGTGGATTTTTACTTGTTTTATTGACAGAATTTACATTTATACATTATACAATACCGTATTATGCAGTATGGCCTCCCTGCCCTTCCTCCCTGACCCCACGACATAAAGAGTACACCTCAAAAACTTTGACTCGTCTCGGAAAATTTATGTTCAACCAAACACAGACCATTGGTCCTTGATTGCCAACTGTGTTACTATACATCAGCTTATCTAAATAAAGGCTTGGAATTTATTATCTGACTCAGGAAGATAATTTTTTCTACTACTAAAATGGTCGTGAACAGTAGCAAACGGGTGCTATTGTGCCAGAGACCAGTTTTGTATTTAACAGTGTAGACCAGCCTGTGATATGCTCAATACTATAAAAACGTATTGTTCAATGTGAGGTAACGAAACAAAACATGTCATGAATATTACCAAAATACTTCCTGCTCCTATTTTATCAGTACAGCATACATACATTCCATTTAACAGATTCAAAGCATTTTCAATCAATAATAAGCGGAATAGTGATATTTTAAGCAATGGAGAGGACTTGAATATCTTGGTGGTTAAGATGCTTGCCTTCTAATCCCACAGCAGCAGGATTTTTTCTAACAACGAAAACTACTCCTCTCCCTAAGCCTTATAATGAGATGAGGGGACCTAAGTGTTGACAATTAATTTTTTTTTTTAAATAGGGAAAATAGAAAGTTACATTTAAGTTGAAGTCAGAGTACCTTGTTGTGGCAATCAAAGTGCCATAGACATAACATTTTGTACCTCCGGCTCCAACAATAATGCAGTAGTAGTCTGGAACTCTATGTATACAATTGCCTATTTTAAATTCCTGGATCCAGCAATGAATAATATTCCGCAAACTATAGGTTGCATTATTCATTTTCAATTGTTAGATTTTATTAATATGATAAATATAAATAGTACTCACTGGATAAGTTGAGATACTTTAACCATACATTTTTACATTTCTTTATTTTATTTATTCATCTCATTATAGTATAAAACAAAAAAACAAAATCAATGACACAAGACAGGATTCCCTAAGTAAATTGAATCAAGCTACATTATATGTCTCCTGCATGAGGACTATACAGAAAACAAAGCATAAATATTTAAATATAATTTTTTTTGTAGCAATTGACTTGTGTGCAACAAGTACCAACTGTCTAAATGGAGCGACGTGCCAGATGTTAAACGACTGTAGCGACACGACTTGCCTGTGTGCTGGCTGCTACACTGGGCCCACTTGCTCTATCTGTAAGTGCAATTTAAAAGGAATGAATGAATATCATTCATAATCATTCATATACACCTTAATGTCTGCATCGTGTTTTTAATTTAACAGAATAAGTTTTAAAACAAGATTCAAGTTGAAACTGTCATACAAGAAATGTCAGATTAGAATAGAATAGAATATAAATCTTCCTTTATTCTGGATACTCAGTCAGTATTGTTACATTGTTCTTCCCTGAGGTCCAGGGTATTATCTTAAACTACATTATATTACAAAATAAAATTAAAAGAAAAAGGCATAAGATTCATTTTTTCAATTTCATATACTTTTGTTTTTATAACATATATTATTTATAAATGGCGAATCATCAATTAGTTTAAGGAATAGAATTAGTTTAGCCTCATTGTTATAATTATTTTGTTATTATTCTTATTTTTAATATTTTTATTACCATAATAATTATTCTACTGTTATTATTATTGTTATTTTATTGTTATTATTTTATTATTATTATTTTTATTATTTTGTTGTTATTTTATTATAATTTGTATTTTCTCAGTTGGCCTATATTATTTCTGTGTTAAGCGCATAGGGGCAATGTGCAATATGCACTATATAAATATAGCATTATTATTATTATTAAACAATTTATACAATGAAATAATTAAGATTTAAGGTAAATAAAGTTGAAAAATATTTAACAATGTTATTTTGTATTGTTTTAGTGTTGAACCCTTGCAATAGCTTTCCTTGCCAAAATGGAGGGAACTGCTCACCTGACACCTGTACTGATTACACATGTACCTGCCAAGGTTGCTTCTCTGGTGATAATTGCCAAACACGTAAGTTCTCAATTGATACTTGTTGCTATGTGTGAGTGCAGTCATGCATGTGAGTTCTCAATGATAATGGTGCTATTGTACATAAGATATCAAATGATAATTGATGTTTCAGCGAGACATATAAACCACACATTTCGTAATACTTTTAAAATGTTAATTGGATCTCAAAAGATTAAACCAATTTCAGTATTTGATAGTGTATCAAGATGAATTTCCAGAATGATTGGTGCTATTATACATATAAGATTTCAAGTGATAATCATGCATATGCGATCTCATATGATAATGGCGTTATTATAAATGCAAGTTCTCAAATGATTATGCTCAGTTATGAGAGAAAGTCGTTGTGATTATACAAAATGTTTAGTACTTAAGAAATTGAATACAGTTAACCATTCGAGATCACTTTTGTGATCTGAAATTTTGAGGTGGTCTCGGGGTTTGGTTTCCATTGGAGCATTAGCTTTGTGTTAAAATATTTAAGATTGTTATTTGGTCCTTTGAAAGAGTAGTCTCAGCTTAGAGGATTCTCTAATTGGAGGGTGCACTGTACCAAGGGCTTAGCCAGCAAGCCGTCTGGCCGTTTTTTGGATGGCCAACAATTATTTAGGATGGCCACTTTTACTCCGACAGCTTGGATGTTTTAGCCTACTCAGCTCGGCCTAGCCTAGTTGTGCCTAGACTGGATTTAGCAAATTTTTTATATTTTTGAATCATCAAATGTTACATTAAACTAAAGCATATTTTAGATGGCCTATTTTGTTTTTCTGGCTAAACCCCTGCACTGTACTGAATTTATTTGTATGAAAATTTAGAAATAGCATTACTTACTTACACTACTCAATATTGTACTCTTTACTCGATACTTCAATATTATGCTCTTTGATAACTTGTCATGTGTTAAAGTGTTGTACATTTATTGTTGTTTTTAGTCCTTGATCCATGTAGCACATCCCCGTGTGTAAATGGAGTGTGCCTGGCTGACGACACAAACCCCTGCACTCAGTATACCTGCAGATGTAATTTTTGCTATGAAGGTCTCAATTGTGACATTGGTAAGTTTCTTATACTTTTATATTGTTAATAGTTTCAAATCTTACTTATTCTCGATATCAAAATAAATTGGCATAATTGTTTTCTTTTTAAACATTAGCACTGAAAGTTTCATTAAATGAAACTATTGTATTATTTTTTATTGAAGGCACTGTCAGTAATAAGATTTGGAAAAAACATTTATTCAAGTAAATATTTAAATATTCAATTAAAACAAATATTCAATTAAAACATTAAATATTCAAATAAAACTTGAATATTCATTTAAAGCTTCAAATATTCTATTAAAACAGTGAATATTCATTTGAAACATTGAATATTCATATAAAATATTGAATATTCAATTAAAACCTTGAATTGCTCATTTAGAAAAGATCAAATATGTATAATTCCAATTAAATTTATGAACAAATACAATATCTTTGGCATAGTTTTAAGTTTCATCCACATTATCAAGCTGTATGTCATATGTATATATATGGGCATGATGAAAATGACATATCATATCCATGTATGGGCATGGTGATGACATATGACGCCCATATATGGGCATAACGATGTCATGTCACATCGATATATGCACATGGTGATGTCATATCTCACCCATAATGGACAAATCATGTCACATAACACATCATAATGGGGGAAGCTTTATACTTTCTTAATAAAACAATGACTATAATGTTTGTAATTGTTTCTTGTAGCTATGGATCCTTGTAGTAGCAGTCCATGTCAGAATGCCGGGACGTGCTCCATCAGCCCCACATTTTGTCTTTCCTATGTTTGTACATGTGACTCGTGTCACTTTGGGCCAGAATGTCAGTACAGTGAGTACTCATTTATATTCATATATTCATTTATTCATATATTCATTTATTCTTATATCCATTATATACATATACATATGTACATATACATATGTACATATTATATACGTATACATATACATATATTATATGTATATACATATATTAATTCATCTTGCATGTTTGTTATTTTTTTAGTAGAATATACAAAACAGGATCTAAGTTTTTTTCTTTGAAAATAATCAACATGAATTAAAGTACTTACCTAGGTATATTATATTAACTGTTCATAAGTTCATACAATCTAATTGTTTAAAGAATATGTACAGTACTCGTGCAGAAAACTGTATTTGTTAAAAACAAAAGCTTGACAGTAACTGCATTGTTTCTAACAAAGAAAATTTACTGAACATTTTTTTTTTCAAGACACAGATGAAATGTTTTCCAAGGTTTTATTAGTAGTTTTTCTAATAAAATATGCTTTTATTCTTCCAAAAATTCTGTTGGACAAGAATAGTATTGGAAAAATTTTCATTTTATTTTGATTAACTTATAGCTGTTGACCAATGTCAGGACAATCAGTGCCAAAATGGTGGAACGTGTGTACGTACTGCAAACTCCTGCGTCGACTACACTTGTCAGTGTACCTCGTGTTATTCCGGTGCTATGTGTGAAACACGTAAGTGTAACTATTTAATCTGTCCACGCAAAGAATATCAAACATTAAAATAAATTATGGCGTATAAAAAAATTCTATCCTATTCAGCATAATATAGTATAACAAATACTCCAAGTATCAAAATTCATGCCATCGTATCGGGATTTGGATTTTTGGTAGCATTGATATATTGTCCTAGGAAGGATGGCTCTGTATTTTAGTGTTGTTGGTTCAGAGAGTACTGTCTGATTTTTCGAGAATGTTAAGGAATGTAGTCCCCTATGGCCCCTTTCAAGAATATCAAACATTAAAATAAATTATGGCTTATAAAAAAATTCTATTCTATTCAGCATAATATAGTATAATAAATACTCCAAGTATCGAAATTTATGCCATCGTATCGGGATTTGGATTTTTGGTAGCATTGATATATTGTCCTAGGAAGGATGGCTCTGTATTTTAGTGTTGTTGGTTCAGAGAGTACTGTCCGATTTTTCGAGAATGTTAAGGAATGTAGTCCCCTTTGGCCCCTTTCATTGTGGCCCCCTTAATCCCCAGTGTTTGTATTATGTGCATCAGTTATAGGATGTTTGTTGTTTGGTTAAAGAATTAACATTTATATGCTAGGCTGTGATCATTCAAATCCCAGTGCCATATTTCTATAATTATGTGAGATAGGATAGGTTTTGCAGTGTAAAAGGGAGAGGATTACAGTGGGTACAGAGTGGTACACCTCATTCCGATATGTCCCCTTTAAATTTCAATAGAAGCAATCCAGGGCAACCAATTTAACATGTTAATTATTTATATATTGTAGAATTTACTCAAAAAGCAAGATTATTTAGATTTGATAAAAACCTTACAAACTAAAGAATGTGAAGCTTAATGATTGGTTAGTGACCCAAATCTGTTCTTTTATTCTTTTAACAAAAAGAGAAAGAACAATAGTACAGCATGTTTACAATCTAGAAACTGTTTTCCGTCTAAATTGTAAAGCTTCACATTATCAAAAGCTAATTATGCTAATATCTATTGACTTAAAAAGCGCCAGATAGCCTTCAATTTGAGATATGTTGTAACATTCTGCTTCATTGGGCACGGAAAATCTCAACAAAATTAATAAATGTATCATGCGACACTAATTCGTATTTGTACGAATGTCTGCATTTCTGGCATACATATTGTTTTTTTGTTCCTGTATGGTGTTTGTTTCTTGTGATCCAGCCTTATTATTCCATATAATTATTATGTAGTTAAATTGGTGTGTATATGAGAATGGATAATTCATGAATAGTGTTGATATAGTAAGTTTCTTTATCAAAGACTAGCAACATCACTGCTGTTTTTTGTTAAATTGTTAAATGCTTCCTCAAAATGTTTCAATTCATAATTTTATGTTCTTATACTGTAGTACTGAAATATATTATTAGTCCTATTGTTATAATGATGATAATTATTGATGTTATTGAATTTATTGTTGCTTCCTAAAAAAAGTTTAAATTCATAATTTTATGTTCTTATTGTACTTAAATATATTATTAATCCTAGTTTGAAAATGATGATAATTATTAATATTATTGAACTTCAATATTGTATATCTTAGGTATAGACGTATGTAATTCTTCGCCATGTAACAACTTTGGTGTTTGCACCTCAAGCGGGGACTGCACATCATACACTTGCGCATGTCAAAACTGTTACTCAGGCCCAACCTGTCTTACATGTAAGTTTATATTTTCATTTTATTCCATTCCGCAACACTCCCTGTGAGAGGAAAGCAATTACCAAATTTTGGCTCAGCTCTTAAAGCCTTGTAAACAGCCACAATGCAGTGCCAGTACCAACATATAAAGATACATTTCCCCCTTATCCCAACCCTCATATATGAGCCGAATGATCTAAATTCAAGAATTTAATTTATCTCTCAACCAACAAAATTATAATCATCAAATACTCAATTATGTCTGTTGAACAATAGTAATAATAGAATGTAAAAATGTAATAGAAAATTAATGGTAAATGTTAGTACAATGGGTCATAATTGATCAGTGCTGAATCTTTCATTCCATTTATTTCATTTAGTTGTCAGTTTCTTAAAAACAGTTAAAGCTAAAATGCAATAAACAAATGCAAACCCGTGTCAGTGACAGGATAAACAAAAAGTAAACTTAGTTGCTGTGTGTTTTTAGCTCATTTATTTTGATCTTGTAATCTTTTAAACTAATTTCTGATTGGTGTTTATAGTGCTTGATCCTTGTGGCAGTGTAAATTGCCAGAATGGTGGTACCTGCAGCCAACTCTCCTGCACAGCTTATCAATGCATCTGTGTTGGATGTTATAGTGGAACCAATTGTGAAACATGTAAGTTCCTGGCAAAATATTACATTCTAGATAAGAAATACAAAATATATAAATTTTTAAAAATTATCATCTTTGATAATGAATATTCATGATGGCTATTAGTTAAGCAATCCCTTCACTGCCCTCTATAGTTCAATAATTTATAAACATTGAAATATATTTTCACAGTATGAAGTTATACAGTGAATATTTATGATGAATATTAATTTTGAGGTATGCTTTCTAGGACACTAATGTTGTATAAGGGTTGTCCTCTATTGTTCAATAAAACATTATACTATAGAAAAAAAACATTGTGAATAATTATTCAGGACCATAACCCTTGAGAATAAGTATTCATGATTATAAACTTTGAAAATTAATATTTATATCCTTTTAATATGAATATTTCTAATTATTAGCTATGAAGTTTATATTAAAGTATATGAACATGAAGCTTTAACAGATATTTGCATTTTTCAACAGTGCTTGATCCTTGCAGTACTAATCCGTGCCTAAATGGGGGCACCTGCCAACAGAGGGCGGGCTCATGCACTGAGTATGACTGTGTCTGCTCTAGTTGTTACATGGGACAGCTTTGTGAACAATGTAAGTTTCAATAATTTTTTAATAAACAGTATATAAAGTATGCAAATAAAGTACCATTATATAAAGTAGAAATGTTCAGCTAAGTTGTCTGAAATTTTGATTATTATTATTATTATTATTATTATTATGTTCTGTGAATGATATATTATTTGTTTGCATAATTAATGAAATAAATTATTAACAATTAAGTACATTGTGTTTATTTTTATAAGTTATTGATCCTTGCATCCCCAACCCATGCCAGTCCGGCGGACAGTGCGCAATTGTGTCAGGAACTTGTGACCAGACCGTGTGTCAGTGTAGTGGATGCTATACTGGGGAAAGCTGTGAAACATGTAGGTAGTTCTTATTTTATTTATTAATTAATTTGGCCCATTGGACAATAGGGAAAATATACCTTTCTTACACTATGAGGCAATGTCTTCAATTACACACATTTACACATGATGTTCCATGTAAATTTAATTTAACTCTGGAACTCTCTTCCCATCCTTTTTCCCTATTTAAGGCCAGACTCAAAATTCATCTTTTCTCATCCATCTAATTTGATTTTCCTTTTTGTTGATTGTTTTTGTTGTTTCTTCATAAATCAGTATTTAAAAATAATCATTCTTAATATCATTAAATTATTTTGATTGATTGTGATAATCATTTCAGTGTTATTTTTTTATTCTTTCAGTGCAAGAGCCATGCAGTCCAAACCCCTGCAAGAACAGTGGCATTTGCATACAGGACAGCTGTACATCTCACACTTGTAACTGTCAATCATGTTTCACTGGACCAACATGTGAAGACTGTAAGTTGTTGTGCTGAGCAGTTGTACTTTGGACTCTCAACTTAAAGCTCTGTCCACACTATTACATATTTCTGATGTGCCCATATATGGGCATGATGATGTCATATTCACCCAAATATGAACAATTTGATAGTGTGGACATATTTTAAATCCAATTATTTTATATTCATGTCTTATTTTCTCATATGTTATCTCTATTTTGTTACAAGCATTATAAATTGAAGAATAGAAAGCTTACTCTTTATTGTGTATTGAGAAACTGTATATTTAGTGTTAGCAGTTAGGAATTTGATTTCAGATGTACTTTTGTTCCATATTAATTGTGCATTTTATATACACATGCCTTGTATACACCATTTAATGTCTAATTTGATTTCAGTTGTTGATCCATGTTCTGTTGGTCCGTGTCTGAATGGCGGGACGTGTAGTGCCGCGTCCGGATCATGTACCATATATACATGCCAGTGCCAAGGCTGCTACACGGGAGCAAGCTGTCAAATTTGTAAGTAAAGAAACAGAAAAAAGTGATATAATATTTTTGCTTCATAATTACATCCACATATACACATTATAACCATTATTTGCTAAAATGACATAAATATATTTATTTTTGTTGATTTCATTCATCATGTAATCAATTTTTTTTCTTTATTTGTAGTTGAAGATCCTTGTGGTAATCATCTGTGTCAAAATGGTGCCACATGTATGCCGTTGCCAGGCTCTTGCTCTCAATACACATGCCAATGTTCAGGATGCTATACTGGAGATTTCTGTCAAAACTGTGAGTAACACATCAGGTTATTTTTAGTAGGCAGTGTTTTTTTGTGGTCAGATTATAATAGGTAGTTCATGAAGAATATTCAGACAAATGATCAAAATATATTTTTAGTATTATTTGGATAAATCAGTGAATTCCGCCCCCTTGGTGTTGAATGATAATTGTTGATAATTTTATCAATAGAATTTGAATGTTTAAACTTCCTTTACAGTGAATAATCCATGCCTATCATATCCATGCCGATTCGGTGGAACTTGTACTCAGAATGTAACTTCATGTGCTGAATTTGAGTGTGCGTGCTTAGGCTGTTACACCGGACCTACCTGTACAACATGTAAGTAATCATTGTAAAAAATATCTGGCTCCTTACCAATCAATTGAAATGAGTAATTGACACCACTCACCACCCAATTGAAAGGAGTAATTGACACCACTCACTGCCACCCCCCAACCCCTGATTACTAGTTACAAACATGGATATTATTATCTTGCATTAATAGACACATTTTATTATTTAAGGCAAGCGGTGCAGCGTTTAAGGCCTTCAATTTTGAGGTTGTGGGTTCCAGCCCAATGCTTATCACCCTGCTTGTGTCCTTGGTCAAGACACTTTATATTGTGACATTCAGTAATATCAGTGAAATTACTGGTAATATCATTCCAGGGCAGATCGTACCAGCAGCATTTCAAATATAGGGGCCACACTATTCCTAATGCAAATTGACATTTATCTAGCTGTATAGAAACAAATTTAATAAATATAAAATGTTTATTTTACAGTACTAGACCCTTGTTCACCTAACCCATGTGAGAATGGAGCATTCTGCTTAGCAACATCATGTACAGAGTATACCTGTAGTTGTACTGGTTGCTATGAAGGGGACACCTGTGGAACAGGTAAGTTGTAAACCAAATGATTAATAATAGATAATTAAGAGTAATTAGCTACCATAGGTTCTTTAAATTAGGTGGTAAAGTTGGTAATGTGTTGTAACTTTGGTAATTATTAGTAACAACTCTTCTTTGAGAACACTAGCACTAGCCAATTTTAGCAAACATATCCAATGTGGGTGGGCTCTTTGTAATAGTCCTCTGATTTATTAATAAATTTGTAGTCATGTTCAATGTAGGTGAAGCTTTTTGGGACAGTCCTTTGATTGATATTGTTAATGCTTTACTTTTAATCTTCTTCAGCAATTGATCAGTGCTCTCCCAACCAATGTTTGAATGGAGGTGTCTGTGAGAAGGTGTCTGGTTCGTGTACTGCTTTCACCTGCACATGTACCGGATGCTACTCCGGGAGCTTCTGTCAATTTCGTAAGTAATTTGACCAAATAGAACTATTTTTATGGAAACAAAGCTGAATAAGGATTTAGCATTGACAAACTGAAATGGTTGCCATGGTTATGCACACTATTTTATCATGATGTATATGTACAGTATTGCTTTTAGTAATTTCAAATGGGATGTTATCATATTTTACAACAGAAATTTGATTTCTTCTGTTTGTAGCATACATCAATTTTATCAAATCTATTTTACATCATGTTTCTGTTTTTTTTTTTTTGTAGAGTTGAACCAGTGTTCGCCAAACCCTTGCCTGAATCAAGGCATTTGCTCAAACTCATTGACAAACTGCAATGAGTTTGACTGCACTTGTCCTGGATGTTATGCAGGCCAGTATTGTCAGCTCCGTAAGTTAACAATAATTGTTATTGTGTCCAAAATACCAGTACCCCAAAACACATTACCTAGATCTTTGTCAGATTTTGTTTTTATCGTCATCACCTTCAATGCTGCCTCTCATCTTGTGATATGACAATTTCTGCTATGACTTTGTTTTGATTCTTAAATATTAAATATTTTTCCTGTGGTAATTAATAATAATAATAATAATAATAATAATAATAATAAAATTAAAACATGGCACTTATAAGACACCAAATGATCAAAGCACCATACATAAATAAGAACCAATTGCGTGTTGAGGTTATGATTTGTCTTTTGCTATAATTGCATCTTTATTTTTTTATGCTAGTGATTAATCCATGCGGTGACTTTCCTTGTCGCAATGGAGGGCAGTGCACACAATCTCCCACAAACTGTACCGACTACACATGTACTTGTTCAGGATGTTTTACAGGCCCTACCTGTGAAATATGTAAGTCAACATTTATCAAAATCAGTATCTTTGTTGTTTTACGTGCTAGTGATATGTATGTTAGGTGTTGATGTCGTCTGCTGAATAGTCGGCTTGACCATGTCTAGTGTGTATGCTTCCATCTTACGTGTAAGTCTTATCTTGAGGAATAAAACATTTTTAACACTGCAGGTAGGGACAGTGGGATTTAAGAAAGAGTTATATGGATGTATATATGTAGGTTTTTAGCCAGCATATATACATAAAATTAGGCATATAGCAAAATATATAGATAGGTTTTTGGTTTTTTTTAAAATATTCTGTGAATTAATAAAATAATTACTATTTTGTGTTAGTACAAGATCCGTGTTCTGGTTCACCTTGTCAAAATGAGGGCATCTGTTATGGAGTTGGAACATCTTGTACTGAATACCAATGCTCATGCTCATCCTGTTACTATGGTAACAACTGTGAAACATGTAAGTTACATTTGACTATAATTTTTTAATCCCACAGGTAGCTTTTTGTCAGGTAGCTGTGACATCTTGTATATGATTGAAATATGTATTTGTACTCCTTTGTTTTCTTGCATAGATTTATCAGTAAATTTACATAGCTCTCCTGGGGCCCAGCTTACAGAACATTGAAGAAATGCAGTTACATATCGCAATAAAAATAAAAATACAATTAACAAAAAATCTTATTTATGAATATTCATAGTTGTGTAATTATTATTAGGTTTTTATGCATATTCATGATTGTTTTATGTTATATTTCAGTGAGGAATCCATGTCTTGATAATGGGAACCCATGTCTGAATAACGCTGTCTGTGTTGTGGTTCCTCTCTCTTGTACCGAATACACTTGCAGTTGTCAAGGCTGTTATGATGGACCATTCTGTGAAAATTGTAAGTTGACCAATCATATCTTAGCTAGGAGCTAGGGGATAAACAGCCAATTAATAAGCAATTATAAGTAGAGTTGTGTATTACTGTATACACCAGGCATAATTTTATATGAATTTTATTTTAATCAATATATCATCTAAACATATTCACTTCAAGTGTTTAATGAGTATACTCGGCGAAGTGAACAAAAAAAAAAAAAATGGCCCTACAAACATTTTCATGTCATTCTCGTACGATACCTTTAACAGGCATTCACTGCCCGAATGGCTGCTGGGTAAGAACTGATTTGATACGGGTAGTTGCGGACCAGTAATATCTGCCACTATATTACACCTCAAAAAGATTATATGAGGGTTAGTCTGTGTCTTACATGTTAGTTTCTATATTTTTTAAAGTGTAACAGTATATGAAGCAAAGGATGTTCATTTGATTTTAGAATTCACTTTAATGTTTAAAATCTTATTGGTTTTCTCCACAGTACTTGCTCCCTGTTCCCCAAATCCTTGTAATAACAATGGTGTCTGCACACAGACTAGTTGCACAGAATTTACCTGTGCTTGTGAAGGATGCTGGGAAGGCGATACATGTAGTGAATGTAAGAAAAAACATATAATTTCAATATTGTTTTAATTTTAATGCACACAAACATTGTTGCACCCATCTTGCAAACAGAAATTGAAAAAAAAAAAAAAATAAGCATAGAGAATGAAAAAAATAACATAGTTATGCAAGATCATCTTATTTATTATCATCATTGCATGGTCATTACCTAATCATTATGTTATTATCATATCATCATCATTATCATCATCATCACAGTCATCACTAAATAAATAATATGAAAATTGTCTTCCACCTTCTTTGTGTCTACTGTCCTCTTGCGGGGGCAGTAAACGCTTTCCTTTCAAGTGTAAGTGATACCATTTATCATCATCATTATCATCATCACAACCATCACCTTCTTTGTGTCTACTTCGGTGCTCGGCATTGTGTCAAAGATAGAAATGAGTCTTACTTTTTCTTGAAGTTGAGGAGTCCCATGCAGGTGGCTCTGTTTAGTTAGTAAGCCTATGAAATATGATGCCATGCCTAGGCCTGTCCTAAAAAGAACCAAATGTGTAATTAGGCCTAACTGTTGCCCAAAAAATTCCTATATCAAGCAGTAAACACATGTTTCCATTGGAGCCTACTTCTTGTAGAATAATACATTGATTTGATTTTCTTTGGTCCACAGTGAGCAACCCGTGTAATCCTGTCCCCTGTATGAATAATGGAGCGTGCGTGGCCTCATCAACGTCCTGCACAGAGTACACCTGCCAATGTCCACTGTGTTTCACAGGAGTCTTGTGTGAAACTCGTAAGTACAAACTTACTTATATGTAAACAAAAAAATTCAAATAATGCGGCACAACATATATATAGAAACTTCTAGTATTGTGTAGAATCTGTATGACACTGCACCCAGGTGTCAGGCTTCTCATGAAGAAGTTGTTGGTTCAAGATGAACGCAGCTCATATTATATTGCTTGTGTCCAGTGGCTGCTCACTGAGTACAATGGTATGGCTTCAGGCTTGCAGTCATAATGTTCTGGGTTCAAGGTGGACCATTTGCTTTCAATCTAGAGAGGTTTTGAGTCTTCTATAAATCTACTAAATACTAGGCCTTAATATCAAAGTAGTTCTAAACACAAGCAAACTGGCCAGCGTTGGATTCAACCCCACATATGAAGTTTCAAAGCCTAAAACATTGTACCAAACTGCTTTATTTCTTATTTGCCTTGTGTACTGTATATTGTATTAATGGATTGTAAATTGACTTGTTTTCAGCTGTGAGTTCATGTGATAATAGTCCTTGTGGTAATGGTGGTGTTTGCACCCCTATAGCTGGCTCCTGTACCTCTTATACTTGTCAGTGTCAGAATTGTTACAGTGGATTCAATTGTGAAGTTTGTAAGTATATTTATTTTTTTTAATGAATTATTTGCTAATTATTTATTATTAATATTATTATTGTGTTATTATTTGTTATAATATATTTTGTGATTTTTAAATTTTAATAATGTCAGTATATTTGATGACAAAATATAATCAAGTGACATAATAAGAATGACGTGTGTATTGAGTGACTTAAGCAAAACTAATGATAGACTGACATAATTGAAATCAGTGACATAAGTATAATGATTGACTTAAGTGTAATTATTAACAAAAGTGTAATAGTGACTTAAGACTCAACCTGATTGGTTGTTTAAGGAAGTTTGAAATGTCTTGCATTGCTCTATACTGAGTGTACTAATGATTTGTTATGATACATAAAACAGTGGCAGACCCATGCGAGAACAACCCATGTTTGAATGGCGGCACATGTCAGCAACGACAAGGCTCATGTACAGAGTATGATTGTGTATGTGCTGGCTGCTATACTGGAACCATATGTGAAACATGTAAGTACTAGTGTCGTTGTTGAATGATGTTTTGTGTTTAAGTCCATCACTGCAAGGTTTCAGATGTCAAAACAATTACACTGCGATTTATAGGTTATTCTTCTACGTTTACCTTTACATTTAACAAAACTATGGCTTTCTGTCTGAAGTGCTTGTATTCCATCCCCAGCATCCTGTATAATGCTATATGTCCCAGTAAGCCTACATCAATAATAATGATAATAATTCGCTTTGATATTCCACAGTGCAAAATCCATGTGGCTCATTTCCATGTTTATTTGCTGGTGTCTGTAGCCAAGTACCGGGCACATGTGACATGTACCAATGTGCCTGTCAGAATTGTTACCAAGGCGACAATTGTGCTGTGTGTAAGTATTCATTCTTAGTCAAAAATGTGAATTTATACTAATGTAATAATATAGATATATATCATTCTTATTATTTTGTTTCTTAACTGGTCTGTTTTAAGTATTCAACCCCTTCCTTTAGCAGTTAACTTTGAAACAAATCAAAAGCTCCCAAGTGATAGTTTCTGTGTCTTGCCAATTCACCACCAGTTATTGCTCTGTACTGCTGCGATTGTTCATGAACATAACCCAAAATTTCTAATTAATTTACATATAACTGATAAGTTAGTTTACTCTGATTGTATTAATTCACTGACCATTGTATTCTTGTTATAGTTCTTGACCAGTGCAATCCAAACCCTTGTCTGAATGGTGGTTTTTGTAGTCGTAATCCGGGGTCGTGTACTGAGTACTCATGTCAGTGTCAGTCATGCTACAGCGGTGACAACTGCGAAACTAGTAAGTTGCTTGTTACTTGCTACTTGTATAGTGATTTACCTTTCAGTTACGAAGCGCTGTAAGTTTTTCCTTGGTCATTAGGTCCACATGCTTAAGTGTTGCTAACATATTGGTGCAGTAGCAGGCAACCTCACCAGGCAACTACTCCTGGGTGGAGAGAAGCAATGAAGATAAAGAGCCTTGCTTAATCACACAAGTGAAATGCTCGGCGGGGGATTAAAACCCCGACCTCGAGGTTGGGAAACCAAACCGTTCCTGCTGCGGCAAACCGCTTCTAAGTGTGCTCTTTCCTGCCAACAATGCATTTCTCTGTGGAATGCCAAATGAAATAATATTATTAATAGCATAAATTTGTGTGTGTTTATTCGGGTTAATATTGAAAAGCATTTTTGTATTATTATATTAATCAGAATATTTTTTTTGTCATCAAACATGTCAAAAAAAATAGCAACATAATTTGTTTTTCTAAAGCCTTGTCTCTACACTATCAAATTTTATGTGACAAGTAACTTGTGATATGCCCATATTTGGATGTAGTATGATATCATGTCCTTATATGGGCACATCAGAAATTATAGCGTTTACAGAGCATAATAATGAAGAATGTAGGACTAACACTGACTATAATCCATTTGTAGGAAAAGACCAGTGTGCCGGGAACCCATGCCTGAATGGGGGCACATGTTCTCCCGTGGCGAACTCCTGCGTCAACTATGTCTGTCAGTGCCCACTGTGTTACATTGGAAATACTTGTAATGTGTGTAAGTATCCAATCTTTTACATTATTAAGGGCTACTCATTCTTTCGATGGTACAATGCAGTTGAATACCTTGGTTGATGTATTGCTTGCTTTCCAATCCCAGGGTCCTGGATCACAGTAACAGGATTTCTTCTCACAACAAAAACAACTTCACTCCCACTCCCTAAACTTCATAGTGAGTCTTATGTAGTGCATCTTGTTTGTGTATGTTTGTCTTGTGATGGGATTGCCACTTTGAAGAGTGATTAAGTTCACTGTTTGACATATCCCGGGCCCTAGTTTCTAAAGCTGAATAAAGAAAGATAATAAATATTTATGAAGCTGTGAAATGATTACAGATTAAGGTGAAGTGGGGAGGGAACGGGCTTGATGGTAAAGTAAGTGGGTGCTAGATAACAAAAAAGGTGGTATGGAGTAATTTTTATATACTGTAGGGAATTTTTTTTGCTTCAAAAGTTTCCGTTAGGGGGAGGGAATTGGGGCGTCTAGATATGCCACTGATGTTTATATGTTCAGTTTCATATATTTTTGTATCATTGTTTTATAGTCTCTTTCGATTTTGTCAGTAAACAATCTTTTTATTTTTATAAACAAATCCATAAGCTATTCTTCTATTATTTGTTTTCAGTTTTGGATCAATGCAGTGTAAACCAGTGTGTAAACGGAGCAGTGTGTGAGAGGACACCTGGGTCATGTGATGCATACACCTGTATTTGCCAAGGGTGTTATTCTGGACCTTTCTGCTCTATCTGTAAGCTGTTTTGATCTTTTACTCATTGAAAGTTTAAAGTTTATTTGTAATTCAGTGTTTCAATGAGTTTTTTTAGTGATTCTTAATATTTGATTGTAGTATATCTTATACTTATATCTCATGTTATTATTAGATATTTGACATATCATATTGTTGATATTACCATTAAAACAAGTTCGTGTAATCTCGATGAGGGCAGTATAATAGAGGCAGTAGAGAATATTTGCCCTAACGGACACCCATACAAAAAAGATCTATTAGTCAATCAGCCGAGTGTTTCTAGAGCTCCTCATCGGAGCCAAAAATACTTATGCATATAATGAGAGAATTAAGTATACGTATAAATATATAATACAATATATTTTTTTTCCGCTTGTCACAGTGCAAGATCCGTGTGCAGTTAACCCCTGTTTGAATAACGGTGTGTGTTCGGCTACGTCTTGTACTGACTTTCAGTGTACTTGTGCTGGTTGCTACACAGGATTAACCTGCTCCACATGTAAGTATCTTTCCAGTATTTATCCATATTTTCATGTATCCATTCCCACTGTTGGAGACAACTCTTATACAATTCCTATTCATAATTGGATGTGAGCCATTTTTGTTTTTTACATTTTTAATCTAATTATTTATTTCTTTATCTTTTTGATTGATGCATGTTTATTGTTACTTATATATTCACATTTTACGTGGCGTTTGTTTACAGTGCCCGACCCATGCCAGAGTGGCCCGTGTCTGAATGGTGCCAACTGCGCCATTAAAAGTAATTCCTGCAACGAGTATGAGTGCATCTGCCAAGGTTGCTTCACAGGTTCCAACTGTGAGATAGGTAAGTTTCAATCAGTTAGATGGCAGCAAATTGTGTTTACTGCACTCTATTACCTTTGAAGTTATTAGCAGTTCTTACTTTTCTACAATGGGAAAACTAAATGTACCTCCTTGTTTTTCATGCTATAGGCATGACCTTTGGTTGCAATATTGATCGAAATATACATTATAATACCACATAATATTGTTTTATTTATAATTATATTTGAAAAGTTAAACCACTTACCTTTCCCTAAATGTGCAGTCTGTGAGTGCTAACTATGAATATTTATTTTTTGTGCCAAATGTGCTATTTAAGCTGAGAGCAAGTAATTTTCTGTGTAAAATTGGTGGCACCATATCACAGCAGTCGCAAATCTTAGGGTGGCAACAGAGATGCTTGCCTCAATTATATGTAGCCTCCTATTTTATCTTATCAATGGAACTTTGTTATCATTAATTTCTTCCATATTTTAGCCATTGATCCGTGCAATGTTGCCCCGTGTGGAAATGGCGGAACGTGTTTGAGGGTTCCAGGATCATGCACAAGTTACACGTGCCTATGTGTTGGATGTTACACATCAACCAATTGCCAAACATGTGAGTACTATTTGCTTATAACCTTAGTAAACGCTGTTCTCACTTTCTGGCTGTTTTAAGTGAGGCAGCTGGTCATAATGTGTTGGCGATGTTCATTTTATAGAGGCAGCCAAAATTGACTTTCTAATATATTAATATTCTCCACAAAAATGGGGTCGTTTACTTACTATTTGCCAAAGCTATGAGTAACAGTGTCACAGCTTCTCTGTACTAAAGTATACAATATTACCACATTACTCAGTATTTTTTTTTTATGGTTTAGTATGATTTTGGAATCACATTCCATTTTACTGTCTTCGTTTGTTTTTGTATACAGTGCTAGACCCATGTGCCAACAACCCTTGTGAAAATGGCGGAACATGTTCACAGCTGAGCTGTTTCTCATTCTCCTGCTCATGTCCATCCTGCTACGAGGGTGCCACATGTGAAAACAGTAAGTGAATCAAATATTTAAAGTACTGTGATTTTGTAAACAAAATTTATATTTAACAATGTCTGTTGGTATATTGAACTTTGACATCTCTATGTTTGCTTTACTTAGGAATCAACCAATGTTTGGTGAACCCTTGTCAAAATGGAGGCATCTGTCAGGCGACGGCAGGGTCATGTGTTGACCTCACTTGTCAGTGCCCAGGATGTTACAGCGGACAATTTTGTGAAAATTGTAAGAATAACTAATTTTTCATAAAAGTGTCCATTTATCAAACAGTTTTGTTATAAACAACAGGCACAAATATTTTGCTAAATCATTATGATATTAGTCTTATTATTATTAGAGTGTATTAGTTGATATGTGTTATATGAGCTTATTCTCCTTTCTTAAGGCTTGCATTCATTTGAATTCTTCGTAATTTGTTATTCTTATTTATAATTGCTTTACAGATTTATTTTAATGTTGTAAATATTGAAGAGATATTAAATGATAATTAAATTAAAATCTATAGCATAGAAAGTAGCTGCATATGTTATTTATGCCTGATTGGAAATTGATTTACAAATTGAATCTTGATGTTTGGTCTTTTGTTTCTGCAGTTAATGATCCTTGTACATCAGGACCTTGCTCCGGTGCTGGAGAATGCCGTGCCATTCCCGGAGACTGCACTCAGTACACATGCGACTGTGACCCGTGTGCAACTGGGCCCAACTGTGCTCTTAGTAAGTTTGTTATTTAGAATATTTCAGTGAAAGACTCTGTCTAAATTGGTTTGGTGGTAAAGATGCTTGCTTTCTAATCCCAGGGTCCCTGGTTCAATTCCTGTCACAGCAGGACTTTTGACTAAAATCAACTCCACTCCCTAGCCCTCAATAGGAGACTACTTATAAAGCATCGTTCCATCCTATAAGTGGTGAGTGTACTTGTTATTGGATGTGAAGGAAATAAAATAAAGCTGTGTTTACATTGGATTAATTTCCATCAAGACCACACTCTTATGTTCATAAATTAATACAACTGAATATAAAAAGTATTGTTTTAAATGTAAACTTTCAATTTTGCCAGGTGTTGACCTTTGCTCTAGTAATAACCTCTGTCAGAATGGCGGTGTGTGTACCATGACAACGGACTGTCAATCAATCACATGTGCATGTCCACAATGCTTTGTTGGGGATTTCTGTGAAACAGGTAAGACAATTGATCTGAAGGGCGCCCTCATGCATTTATTTGTTGATCTTACGCAAGGATCTTATAATTAGAGGATAGCATTCTCCATGATTTTTGCGTACAAATTTTGTAATAACGCAGTGTACGGTGCCCTCTTGCAAAAGTGATTACTTTTCAACTTTGACATCAGAGATTGTTAACTAAAGAAAGCACATCTGCATGGAAATTCTATAAGAACCATTGCAACAACTAAGATGCCCTCTCTCAAAAGTGATTACTTTTTATGCTTGTTTTTACTAAACATCGACGCTTCTATTTGTTACACGTAATAGCGCTATCTTGTAATTATAAGATGTTAGATTTTAAGGTGTTAAATATTCAGTAAGTCTAAAGGGTAGTATGTTCATTTCTCTACATAATATTTATCCCTATATTTTTTTAATATTTCATAATTTACATCTCTAATACATCCCATTTCTTGGCTTCACACTTTAGATAAGATAAAATAAAATGTATCTTGTTTTTGTTTTCAGCCCGTGATCTATGTACCGAAAACACACCTTGTATGAATAGTGGAACGTGTGTGAATGAGTGTCCCAATACTAGATGTCTCTGCGGTATCTGCTACACTGGTTCAGTCTGTGAAACTCGTAAGTTTACAATAAGAGAAAAGGAGCCATCTCAACCCTGTGTCACTTTCCCAAAAATATCAAAAGAAATTTTGTCTTCTGAATATGTTCACTTCATGAGGTTTGATTTCTTAAAAATGAGGAAATATTAATTAATATACTCTCTTGAAAGAAGTGTAGAGCTGAGCGGTCGGTTGAGAGGTATTGTTCCTGCACCTTGTGCTTAAGACCCCCATTCAAACCCGACCAGCGTCAGGTTTTAATGGGAGTCTGATCGCTTCGCTCCTTGAATGACCCTCATATTGAGAGTTAGGCGGGCTAAGGACAGTGCTTGTATCCATTATGTTGTAGTTTGAATGAGGACCAATAAAGAACTATTATTATTATTCGGGGAAAGTGCAGTAAGTGTATATGTTTCCTCTGTTTTTCAATACATTTCTGTTAGTGTAAATTTTGTCTGCAATGGATAGGATGGTTACTGTAGTTCCTGTTAGTGTAAATTTTGTGGATAGGATGCAATGGATAGGATGTTACTGTAGTTTGTATTCTAATGCCCTGTCCAGTCTTTCAAATTTTATTTGACAATAAACTGTTGTATGCCCCTATTTAGTCATGATGTGCCTATATATGGTCTTGATGTGATGTCATCATGACCATATTTAGGCATGTCACATGTTTTGTCAAATAACATTTGATAGTCAGGACAAGACAAAAGAAGGTACCGTATACCAAACAACATATTAAAGTGAATGCCAATCTTCTTGTTTTTTCTTGCTAAACTTTAATAAACCTTTTTTCCCCCTATACTTAGCCATTGATGCTTGCCAGAATAATCCATGTGAAAATGGTGGGATGTGTACCAATAACTGTAATTCCTACACCTGCTCATGTCAAGGATGTTTCACTGGAGTCAACTGTGAAATCCGTGAGTATTCTTTTTTTTCTGCTTTCTTATTGTTGAATCACTCAAGTTAAGACCAATTAGAGATGGTTAATAACATGTTAACAAACAAAAAATAGCAATCTTAAGGTAATATATAGTTATAAAATGTTGGTGTACGTATATAGTTATAAAATGCGTGTGTATTTATATACAACTATATTCTGTGTTTTTGCAGCTGTGAATCCTTGTGCCAATGACCCCTGTGTAAATAATGGAGTGTGCCTGATAAGTCAGGACTGCCAGACTTACACTTGTAGATGTTCTGGGTGTTATGAAGGAGAACACTGTCAAATTGGTGAGTGATTTAAGAATCCTTATACATGATCAGGGCCCATGTTGATCACTCACCCACATCATCAAGAATCCTTATACATGATCAGGGCCCATGTTGATCACTCACCTACATCATCATACACATTTGTCCATATGTGATGAGTTGCAAATTGAATAATAATGTTCAGTGCCAAAATTTGTAGCTCACTCACTTACTCACCCACCCATTCCATATAATGCATTTACAAGTCGATTATTGATTCACCCATTTCATGTAATGAATTTACACATAAGAAGGCCCAAGTTTATTATTCATTCACCCATTACATATAATAAATTTACACATGAATAGAGTCCACCTTCATTATTTACTTGCTACGTTCAGGGCCCAACTTTATTTATTTTTTTTTTTAAATGCAAGGCTACCACAAGACAGGAATGACACAAACAAAAAACATCAAGAAACAACATTAAAACCAAGTAATAAAAATTTAAGTAATTGTCAAACAGTTCAATGACGTGGACCAGACATTCCCAAAAAACAGAGAACAAAGTTTGAAAGATGAATTATTCCATATAATATATTGACAAATAATCAAGCCCAAGGGGCTCACTCATTTGCACCAAACAGTATCATAATTTGCTTCATATACTGCTGGGTGTAATGTATATTTATACATCATTAGCGCCAATGTTAATCACTAAGCTCCATATAATGGATGCGAGTTCCTTTTGATTAATTTTGTATTGTGAAGTTTTATTGTATTTTATATATTTTTACCTTCCCCAGTCTGGGGGCATTTGTGGAATAAAAATTGGGGAAAAAAAATATAAAGTATTTTCAAACATACAGATGATTATAAAAAATGAATTGTTTGTAACTGATGTATTTTTCAAATTGACCTTCATAGCAACTGACCCCTGCCGTTCGAACCCATGTCAAAACTCTGGACTATGCTTCAGTCTGTCATGTAGTGCTACAGGAGGTTTATACTTCTGTGCCTGTCCAGCAAGTGGTTGCTTCAGTGGTACATTTTGTGAAGTAGGTAAGTACTGTAGTGTATTAAGACCTGTCCACACTATCAGCACTGCTGTATGCCCATATATAGTCATGATGTGCCTATATATGGTCATGATGTGCCTATATATGGTCATGATGTGATGTCATCATGATCATATATAGTCATGATGTGCCTATATATGGTCATGATGTGATGTCATCAATCCAACTACACTTGCATTGGTAGTTCGTTATTCAGGTTAGGTTTATTACAATAATATAGTGACTGTCTCTTATACACATCTAGATGTGTATAAGAGACAGACCGTATACCAAACAACATATTAAAGTGAATGCCAATCTTCTTGTTTTTTCTTGCTAAACTTTAATAAACCTTTTTTCCCCCTATACTTAGCCATTGATGCTTGCCAGAATAATCCATGTGAAAATGGTGGGATGTGTACCAATAACTGTAATTCCTACACCTGCTCATGTCAAGGATGTTTCACTGGAGTCAACTGTGAAATCCGTGAGTATTC